GATATGTATGCCTTTTATTTCCTTTCTTTATCTTATTTCACAGACTGTACTTTCTAGTGCTATATATTGAATAAAAGTGGGAAAAACAGACATCCTTGGTTTGCTCCTGGTCAAAGCCTTTAGGGCTTCACCATTAAGTGTCATATTAGTTGTAGGCTTTATCAGGATGAGGAAGTTATCCTCTCTTCCTGTTTTCCTGAGTGTTTCATCAGGAATTGATGTTGAATTTCATCAAATTCTTTTTCTGAATAAATTGCTATGTGATTAAAACATTTTTATTTGAGCATACATTATAATTGCAAAGTAATTACAGAGTGCATAATGTACAATGTTACATTAATTTCAGGTATAGAACATAGTGATTTGACACGTTTATAGTCATGCTTGCCACAAGTGTAGATATGTGGTTTTTATTCATATAGAATAAAAATTGTTGATATGGTGTGTGACATTGATGGGTATTTCAATATTGAACTGGTTGTCAGTCCCCTGATTAAATTTGGGTCAGGTATTGTGTATTGCTGATATGCTAACATCATGTTAAGTGTTTTTCCCTCCATAGTTTTCAGGGACATTGGTCTGTAGTTTCTTTTTGTCTTGGTCCAATTTTGGTGTCAGATAATATTAACCTTATATATAACCTTATATAACTCATATATATGTATAGAATTGGGATGTGTTTCTTCGGTATAAGGTGATATTTCACTATGGTTTTAATTTGTATTTCCCTGATGATTAACGACAAGCATCTTTTTCTGCACCTGTTGGCCATCCATGTGTCTTTTTGGAGAAATGTATAATCAGACTCTCTGCCTGCCCATTAAATTTTTTTTTTTAACATTTGTTTATTTTTGAGACAGAGAAAGACAGGGCATGAGTGGGGGAGGAGCAGAGAGAGACACACACAGAATCTGAAGCAGGCTCCAGGCTCCGAGCTGTCAGCACAGAGCCTGATGCAAGGCTCAAACCTGAGCCAAGGTTGGATGCTTAACCAACTGAGCCACCCAGGCGCCCCTGAAATTTCCATTTAATTCTCTTTTGTATCTTCTGTATCTTTGTTGGAGTTTAATTTTTTTTTTTTTTATTTTTCAAGTGTGTATGTGGTTGTTTATTGAATTATTGTTACAATAGCTGCTTGAAAACTGTGCTTGTTATTCTAACTAATCTGTTAATCTGGGTGCTGTCATCTGTGGATCGTCTTCATTCGTTGAGAATGTTCGGGTTCTTAATCAGAACCTGGACGCTGGGGTATTACATGTGAGGGTCTGGGTCTTGTTTGGCCCTTGTGGTTTGGCTGGTTTTCTGTGACTTCACTTGGCAGGGGAGGGGGCCACCACCCGACACTTCCAGGAGGGGTTGAGAGTCCAGGCTCCACTCTGGTCCTCTGCTGGGACTCGAGAGCCCTTGGTCTCCCTGACTCTGAGCAGCGGGTGTGCCGGGCCAGGTTCCTGGTACCCCTGTGGGGTTGGTGCCCCTCACAGCCGGCACAGCGTGGAGGTGTGCGAAAGTTTCGGCAGTCTGCCTGGAGTGGGGTGATTGCTGTCTACAGTTTCCCTGTCGTGTGGCTGTCCCCATCTGGGTCCTTTGGCAGGAGAGGGCTGGGTTTGGGGGAGCATACAGTGGTGCCTGCTGGGGGCATTTCTGGGCCACCCTGCTCCAGCGCCCAGTCTGGGGTACGTGGCACTCATACCAAGGCCTCACGTCTGATCTGCTGTCAGTCCTCACGTCTGTGTCTCCTTCCCTGTGTTTTTCAGAGTCTTCCGATGCCTTTCACGTTGGTGCCCGGGACTTCAGTGCATGTAGTTGGTGGGGGTTGGGGGTTGGGGGGAGTCTGGAAAGTACTTCTCTGTCTCCTGGAAGCCGGGTCCTCACAACTGTTATGTAAACATTGACTGTTTTTATTCAGAAGAGTATGCTTGTTTTAAGTCACATTTTGATAGCCCCAACAAGCATACTAAAGTTTGTAGGAAGCTGGGATGCTTTGTGTGATCCTCATTCACAGATTTGGCCCTTTGATTTCCGACCTCGTGTTTCATTTTGCTGGTTAGAACGGATCCGTGTTGTCTGCTTCTGCTGCTGTGTGGTTGTGACCTGGGGCTTTAGGGTTCGACCTTGGATTGGACGTGGATTTCAGGGAATATCCGTATGATGTCAGACAGCCAGTTTGTCCCTGCTTTGGCTGTTTTTAATTGGGGATGGGTGCTCAAACTTGCCAGATGGCGTCCTGCTCCCTGTGGGAAAGGTTGTGTGCTTTTACTCTTGCTTACGTGTGCTGGCTTTAGGTAGTATAGTTAATCTCGTTAATCTCGTGGGGGAGCTCCTGCTGAGCCTTTGGTTGGAAATGCAGCCTGCCCTTTAAGAATTTCCTGTGACAGTGGCTTATGCAAGTGAGAGCATTCTTGTCCCCTCCTAGTAGATTGCAGGGAGGCCCTTTGTGGCTGACGTGGCAGAGCTGACCCACGCAGCCCCTACAACCCAGTCTCCATCTGGTAGCTGGTCTGCCATTGTTAATGTGGGGCCCTCATCCTCGTTAATCAAGATGGCGGGTAGAGATCCAGCCATCATGCCTATATCCCCAAAAACAAAGGGGACATCATGCCTATATCCCCAAAAACAGGAACATTCCAGAAGCTCTCCGGTGGCTATTCAGGCCCTATCTCATTGGCCACATCTGGCTGCAGTGGGAGGCGGGACAGTGTAGTTTTTAGTTTAGGTCATTGAGTCCCAGATATGGTAAGGGGCTGGACGGCTGTACAAGGGGTGGACAGGGGATCCGGGGACAGTGGCCAGCTCTGCCTTGGCATCTCTCCAGCACCCGGCCTCCTGGTCCTTCCTATCCCCTCTGCCTTTTCGGGTCCTCCTTCCCTCCCGTTGCAGCCCTTGGTCTGTGGCTGACTCAGTTTCCTGGTCCTGACTGGTACAGGTGAGGGACTTAAGAGCTGAGCCCTGAGCAGTGAGGCTCAGAGGTATGACGAGCGGGGTGGGACATGGGGCCGCGTGGTGCCGCGACCCCTTCTCAGAGTGCCTGCCATGGGGTCTGTGCAGCGTGACAGGGTCCAGCTAGAGCTGAACCGGCTGTCCCGGAGGCAGAGCCGGGATGCGGGGCCACACAGCTGTCCTCTTCCCAGGGACCTCGTGTAGGGCACCTGGGGGTAGTGCCCACTGAGTCCCTGCACATGGCTCAGCCCCCGGGGCCCAGGGCATGGAGCCCTGTGACATCGGGTCTTTCTGAGAGAGAGCTCAAGCTGCCCTGTGTCCTTAGGGCCTTCTGTGGGTGGCCTTCTGTGGGTGGCTTTCTGTGGGTGGCCTTCTGTGGGTGGCTTTCTGTGGGTGGCTTTCTGTGGGTGGCTTTCCGTGGATGGCCTTCCTTGGTGCCTGGCTCCTTTAGTTTCCCCACCTTGTGCCTTGGGGCATCTCCAGAAGCGTCCAGGTGCGCTCACGTTGCTGTCGCCGCCCTGGCCCAGCCGCGCGGTGGCCCGAGCTCCCCCCACCTCCCGCACAGCCTCACCCCAGGGGCCCCTCGGCAGAGGAAGGGGTCAGCACCCACCTGGCCAGGCCCCAGGAACACACCAGCTCCCACGCCCTGGGCCGTGGCCTTTCCGCCCTTGGGGCTGTGCTGGCATGCTCAGCCTGGACACTCCTGTGCCCACTCAGGGGCCCGTCTCCCCAGGTGACAGAATGTCGAGGGTGGCACGATTGTGCTGTCCCTCGTCAGCGTCGGAGTCTGTCCGGTCAGCAGCCACGCGAGCTGCTCCACAGTGGAGCAGGCCCGCTCCGGACACCACCAGGACCGGAGCAGGCGGCGCCTGACGCCCACTTAGCCCTGCGGAGCCCCTCGTGGCCTTCCCCCTTGGGAGTCCGCACAGAACTATGTTACCTCCCGTACATTTTCCCAGGCACGGGAGGTGCTCCATGGAGCCTGGAGCGAGAGGGCTGGGGCCCTTGCACCCCCAGAGGTCTGCTGGGCCCGTGACAGCTGTCACTGCTGCTGCTTTGACTGTCCTCCCAAGGCTGCCACACGGGACATGGCTGCTGCGGTCAGGGTGTGGCCTCACACATGGCAGAGTGGATCCGGGCCCCGGCGGGGGGGGGGGGGGTGGCTCGAGGGCTTTGTTGCGGTTCTTGTTGACGGGACAGGCCGCGGCCGAGGGGATGGGGGCCCAGAGAGGGCTGGCCTGCAGGGACAGAGTGAGAGGCCGGCTTCTCCTGCTCCCCCTCAGCCTGCGTTTGCCTGGGCAAGCAGGCCATCCGTCCTACCTCTCCGTGGTCTCCTGTCTGCTTTCTGAAGCAGGGTGGGAAGGAGGGTGAGAAAGACTGACGGATGGGCCTCAGGTGCGGGGGTGGCAGCCGGTCAGGGGCCAGTGGGGTTGGGGTCAGGCAGGGGTTCCTGGGAGGAAGGGAGTCAGAGTCCAGAGGAGGAAACTGAGTCCCCCGAGCTGTGGGCTCCTCTGGAAAAGCCTGGATGGGCTCTAGCTTCTGTAGAGGGAAAGAAAACACCTGAGACCCACAGAGAAGGGAGGAACTATAAGACAGGACCCGGGGAAACGCTCCACGTCTGCTTGTCCCTGTGAGATGAGGGGACCTCGTTTGCCCCGGAAGACGGACCCTCTCATCCTGTCTCGAGGTCCCTCTCAGGGCCGAGTTGGGGGGTGGGGTGCGGTGTGAGGCTGGGCCATCCTGCTTGGAGCCGCTGGCGTCTCCCCCCGTGACCCCTGCTCAGCAAACTTGGGGCCTGTGGGTGCGTGGGCAGGAAGAACAGGGGATGGGGCCAGGGTGACCTGCGTGTCCTGGGGGTGATATTGGCCCTCTCCCAGTCCTTGAGGGGGCAAGTACTCCTGTAACAACAGTCCAGGTCTGGGCATGAGCTGCTGGGGCCTGGGAGCCAGGCAGGGTCTGCGGCCCCTGTGCAGGGCCGTTCCTCAGCACCGACCTCAGTCGGGGGATCGAGGCCTCGCAGGGAGGCCAATGCTGCATCATGCGGGCCCATCTCTCCTGTCCAGGAGCGGCTGCTCATGAGCCTTCTGCCCCGGAATGTTGCCATGGAGATGAAGGAGGACTTCCTGAAGCCCCCCGAGAGGATTTTTCACAAGATTTACATCCAGCGGCATGACAACGTGAGGTAGGGCGGGCACTGGTTTGGCAGTGGTGGGCTTTGGGGCACTAAGTGAAAGTGGAGAGGGGGGAGGGGAAGGAGGGGGAGGGGAGGAAAGCAGTAATGGAGGAAGAGTAGAGGGAGGAAGGAGGAGAAGGGGAAGGAGGAGGAGGGGAAGGAGGAGGTTGGAGGGGAGGAAGAGGAGGAGAGGAGGAGGGAGGAGGGAATGGAGGGGGAGGAGAAGGAAGAGGGAGGACAAGGAGGGGGAGGAGGGGAGGAAGGGAGGGGGGAGGAGGGGGTGATGGAGGAGAAGGAAGAAAGTGGTGGATGGGGAGGAAGGGAGGGGGGAGGAGGGGGTGATGGAGTGGGAGGAGAAGGGAGGAAGAGGAGGAGGCGGGGGAGGAGATGTGGAGGAGAGGAGGAAGTGGAGGGGAGGAGGGGGAGGGAAGGGGTGGACGGGGGGGGGGGTCCCTGTTTGAGGAGAGGCAGGGGCAGGTGTGAGTCAGGAGGCCCAGGTGAGCAGACCTGCTGGGTCTGGTGAATCCTTGGGTGATTGGTGTCATAGCTGCTCTCTCACACTCTTGCACACCCTCCATTGCCTGCGTGGCTGGAGAGGGCTGGCTCTCTGTCCTGAACCCTGTTTGGGCAGTGGCATTGGGCTGGGAATTGGCCCACGTTGGGCTGACAGCTGAGCACTATTCTCCTTGGTGCCAGGGCCTGGGGTAGGCCAGACCTCTCTTCCTCTCAGGGCAGCCCCAGGAGGTAGCGATTGTGCCCATTTTACTGGTGAGTACACTGAGCCCTCAGGGGAACCAGCTTGCCCCAGATGCTCTGAGGTTTGCCTGCTGTTTGAAAAGACCCAATGAAAAAGAATTTTACTCTGTTAAATCGTTTGTTCCCTTTTAAGGTACTTAGATTGGCTGAGTGTTGCCCTTTACCTATGTGTCACTCAGGCAGGAGGTGGTGGTTGAAGCACTGAGGTTCTTTCCCTTCTCGGTATTCTTTGCTGGGCCTCCCTGCCCCTGGGCCCTATAGATCCGGAAGGATAAAGTCCCCTTCTGTTTGTGTTTGGTGCTGCAGGCCGGTTCTCCTCAGGCAGGTGCTTGCCCACCTGGAGCAAGCCAAGGCCTGTGGCTGCCCTCCGCTCCCCACCAGGGCCCCCGAGCTGCCCCCGGTGCGGGCCAGCCTGGCTGTGGTCCGCACGCTCACTCCTTCGCAGGGTCCCTCGGGGGGACCAGTGGTGTTCTCCCTGCAGGGCGCTGAGCCCGGTGCGTGGGGCCAGCATTCCAGCCCACGCAGCCGGACTCTGTGGCCCCCGCTTGTAGTGAAGAAGTGGAGCTTCAGCAGAGTGAAGCCAGTGGCTGGTGGGGCCGGGGCCGCGCTGGGGACCGGCAGCTGCAGACGTCTCCCCAGACTTCCCCTCTGCCCGCAGCCTCTCTGTGGTGGAGAACAGCGAGGCACATGGACCCAGAGCTCTGCTGAGACCAGGCCACCAGAGCAATCCGGGGAGTGCCTGGGGGGAGGGGGAGGCATCAGAGTCTCCAGGGTGCCCTGGGGCAGCAGGTGGGGGTGAGCAGGGTGCCCGGTGCCCATGCGCCATTCCCTCCCTCTCTTCCCACCTGGGAGAACAAACACAGATGTGGAAGATCACTGTGTCCCTTTGAGGCTGAAAGATCTCTACCCACGTCCCCTGGTGGGGGCCTCATTCCTGGCAGCTGCGGGTGTGGCCAGAGGCTGGCTCCCTGGCGGCCCTGGCTGCCCTCCAACAGGGTCTCAGGTGGCTTTCTACAGCCTAGATGTGAACCTGGCACGGGCCTCCTCACCACCCTCGTCACAGCCCCTCACTGACTCGCCGTCACTCCAGGATTCAAGTCCCACGTCAGCGCGCCACTCACAACTAGGAGGCTGATGCCATCGCTAACGGTGGGCAAGGACATTGGAAGTCCTCTCCTCCGCAGAAGCGATGACGATACTGACAAAGCCCAATAGTGGTCAGCACACAGGAAGTGAAGCAGACTCTTGCAGGAACCCAGGAATGTTTATGGAGCAAAACCAGCTCAGTGTGGGCAAGAGGAGCGAAGCTGTGTGGAGCTGTGCGTGCTCTGTTCCTCTGCCCTCAGCCCCGTGATGGCTTTGGAAGGCAGCAGCCGCAGCCACATCCGCCACCTGACTGCTAACAGCCACCGGAGGGGGCAGAGCAGGGTTGGGGCTTTGGAAACCTCTCAGAGAGCTGTCGTCATGTGACCGCCTGGGAGTTCCCCAGAAAGCCTTGCTCAGAGGCTGTGTCCGACTTGGCACTCAGCGTGGACAGCTCATGCCCTGGGGCGTGGGGCAGCCGTGTAGCATCCCGGCTGCCTGAGGTGTGAGACCGGCCGAGGCGGGCGTCAGGGCCCTAAAAACTTCAAACTGGGGAAGGAGAGGTCGGTCGGGGGCTTGGAGAGGCTGTGGGGGTGTTTCTGGGCATCAGAGGACCACACGTAGGGTAGTGGGGCCGTGTGCAGGCTCAGGGGGCACCGCGAGGCCTCCGGCCATCAGCGCTGGCTGACCTTGAGGCTACGTGCAAGCGGGACGAGCACACGACAGAGCTGGCATCTGCCTAGCCGAGAGCCCACCCTTTAGCATTGAGACTTCCTGGCTCTGGGCACACGGGGGAATCCAGCCCGTCCCCAGCCTACCGCTAGGCTAACCCTGCCAAGACTTTAATGGCCCCATGTGAGAAAGAAAACGGACTTTACAGAATTTGTTCAGGAAAGTCCGTGAACAACAACAGAACAAGCCAATCCCAAGGTGGGAGGTGGTTCTGATTTTTGGAGTTGCCACACTGTATTGTCCACTTTTCAATAAAGATACAGGTGGCGTGCCAGAAAACTCAGAGGCGTGTCTCAGGTAGGAGTGCAGAAAGCAGTCCAGACAAGCTGTCCCGGAGGGTGCCCAGACAAAGCTTTAAATCATCAATTTAAGTTTGTTCGAAGAACAAACTGTGCTTAAGTAAAAGAGAGCATGAGAATGAGCTCTCATCGAGTAGAGAAATACCAGTAAAAAGATAGACATTATTAAGAAAACACCAGAAATTACAATTTTGAGAAATAAAATAACTAGGGGCACCTGGGTGGCTCAGTCAGTTAAATGTCTGACTTTGGCTCAGCTCATGATCTTGGGCTTGTGAGTGAGTTTGAGCCCCGAATTGGGCTCTGTGCTGACAGCTTGGAGCCTGGAGCCTTCTTCGGATTCTGTGTCTCCTCCTCTTTCTGCCCCTCCCCTGTTGTGCGCTGTCTCTTAAAAATAAGTAAACTTTGGGGCGTCTGGGTGGCTTAGTCATAAGCGTCTGACTTTCGATTGGGTCATGATCTCGTGGTTCGTGGGTTCGAGCCCCATGTCGGGCTCTGTGCTGACTGCCAGCTCAGAGCCTGGAGCCTGTTTCAGAGTCTGTCACTCCCTCTCTCTGACCCTCCCCTGCTCACTCTGTCTCTCTCTCTCTCTCCTAGAAATAAATAAAACATTAAAAAAAATTAAAAAAAATAAGTAAACGTTAAAAAATTTAAAATATAAAAAAAATAAAATAACTAAAAAAGTTCAATAGGGAGCCTCAACACTGAGCAGATTTGAGGAGGTTGAAGAAAGAATTGGTGAATTTGAAGATAGACAATTGAGATGATCTTACCCAATGAACAGAATGGAACGAGGGTGAAGGAGAACGAACAGAGGCTCAGAGACCCGAGGGACCCTGGGCAGCACTCCCCGAATGAGTCCCAGAGGAGAGGAAAGAGAGAAAAGGGCAGAAAGAATATTTGAAAAACGTACAGCTCATAATGTCTGGAAGCTCAGTGAGAGCGCAGGCAGAGAGAGCTGTCCCTACACACATCGTGGGCACATCCTAAGAGCTGGAGACTAGGATCAAAGCGGGGAGAAGAGACATGTCTAGTGCGTGTGACCACCAACAAGATCAGCATGTGATTTCTTACTGGAAACGGTGGAGGTGGGGGGAAGGCCAGGGTGGCACGTTCGAGGGCCACACAAAACGGACGAGAACTCCGTGTCCAGCAAAACTCACAACGATGGCCCCTCTGTGCTGCTGGTGGCTTCCCGATGGTCAAGTGTCCAGGAAGGAGGCTGTGTGGGTGGGTGGGCACCGTTAGGACCCAGTTCTGTAGTAAACAGATACCCACACACTGAAGCTTCCACCAGCAAGATGATGCCCTGCCCTGATGCAGACCCGGGGGGTAGGGCCCTCTGTGAGGTGCATGGACCCACGGCCTGCCATAGGACACCCTGGGTGGGGGGCAGGCATGGTGGCCACAGCTGTGCCCAGCCTGTGTCCTGGGGTGTGAGCAGGAGCTGGGCCCGGCTCCGGCGTTCAGTCCCCCTGTGGCTGTGAGGGCATTCCCTACCTTCCCCAGCCCCCCTGCCGCTGTCTGTCAAATGGGACTGTGGGGCCCTTCCCCTTCAGCCTGCCCTGAGGATACTCAAGGAGGTTTGTTTTGGGGTGCTTGTAGGGGCCACCATCTGTCCAGGAGGTGGGTGCGTGGCCCGGAATAGGCAGCCTGGGCCTTTTTCTTGCAGCATCCTCTTTGCAGACATCGTGGGCTTCACGGGCCTGGCGTCACAGTGCACAGCACAGGAGCTGGTCAAGCTCCTCAATGAGCTCTTCGGCAAGTTTGATGAACTGGCCACGGTAAGCACAGCCCCCCCCCCCCCCCCCCCCCCCACGTTCTTCCAGGGTCACGGAGCTGTCTGCGGGACAGGAGCGCCCGGGCGGGCTCAGTGTTGCAGGTGTGACCACAAGGCTGCAGAGCGCTTCTGCCTCTCGCGGCTGTGGGTTGCCCCTGCGGCTTCTGCCTCTCTGCCCGCGACTCGGTGGCACAAAAGGAAGTGCTTACAGTGGCCCAGCCAGTGTGCCTGGAGAGGTTCCTGGAGGCTGGACTGTGAGGCCCTGGTGCACGGTCCGCCCCGCCTCCCTTCATGATGCCACGTCCCCTGGCCTGTGGCAAGAGAGCGCAGACCTTATAGAGACAGGTCACGTTCATTCCCGCAGAGGTCAAGCTGAGGCCTGGCTAACAGCCTGGGCTTTCAGTGTGGAGGCCACCAACTGCCTGGTGTCCTTGGACCTTGACCTGCCTTCCCTGCCCTGCAAGGACTGGGGTGGGGGGGGGAAGAAGGGCATGGAGCCAAGTCCGCCTCTGCAGCCTGTCCCCCTTCAAGTGGAGCAGGGGGCCCTGAGCAGGTGGTTGTGGGGGTGGGTAAACTGCTGAGAGTCAGAACTTTTCTCGGGGAGGGTCACACATAAAGGACTTGGTAGAGGAGTAGACGATGTCCTCTTGATGACAGAGGGCCCGGAGACATGCCCCTGCCAAGGCGGCGTATACAGCCAGATGGTGAGGATGGCTGGTGTGAGTGTGTGGCTGGGTGAGGTCACCACGTGGGCTGCAGGCTCTGGTCGGCCCCCAGGCTGGACACGGAACGCCAGGCCCCAGCGCTCGCTCTTGACCTGTAGGCGGAGTGGGCGGTGGTCACACTGGGTGCACTAGGAGTGGTTTAGGGCCCTGGTGCAGGTGGGAGGATGCTCCGCAGCCTCTGTAGACCATTGGGTCGGCAAAGTGTGGCAGGACCGGGGAGGGCGGGGGAGGGCGTGCGCATGGGATGGAGGGAAGGGTGCGAGGGGCTGGACGGGAGGGGGGCAGGAGCCATTTTGTGGCTGCTGCCCTGTGGACCCCACCCTGTGGGTGCAGCTCTGTGGGCCCCTCCCCGTGGGCCCCGCCCCGTGGGGTGTGCTGAGTGCCTTGGTGCCTCCACCTGAGCAGCTTGTGGGCTTTCGGGTCTTACCTACTGGCCGTGCGGCAAGGCCTGCGGCACATTCCTGCAGCTCACCCCTTCGTTGTTACCCTGTCTGTTCGCACAGACCGTTCCCTTTTGCATGGATGGGGCACAAGCAGGGGTATGCGTCTGCTCATGTGGATCCGTTTCCGTGGCTCTACGCGGTGCGGGGTGTGCCTGCGTGGCCATGCTCTCCTCCGACCACAGGACTTTCTCCTCTGCTTCCCGCATGGCTGGCCGGTGACGCGTCCTCTCCGTCTCTTATTTGAGATGAGTCTTCATTTGGCTTTGACTCCTTGGAATTTCTATCCACCTTCTGCAGAACTGTGGGCCAGCACGTGCTTTTGCTGTTGTGTGGTTTCCAGTGGGAGCCCGCTGACCGTACTCACCTTCTCTGTCCCAAGTACTGACAGACGTCTTTTTTCTCTGCTCCTAAGATATCCTCTTTGCCGCTGGTTGGAAGTGGTTTGATTTTGATGTGAGGTTTTCCATGGGGTTTTCTTCACGGCTGTCGGGTTTGTGGTTTATCAAGCCTCCTGTAGGTTTACAGTTTTATCATGTTGAGGAGAAATCTGTCAAATATTCTTCATGCTTCTCCCCCTTCCTTTGGGGATCCTGGTTCTCCCGCATCTGAATCTTGACCTCCTATGGCTCACTGATGATCCTTTTAAATTTGGGGCTCTTTTTCCTTTTTCGTCGTTCTGGATAGTTTCTGCTGCTGACTGGACGGTCACCGGCCTTGTGTCCTGTGAGGTGGGACCGTCTGTCCTACACGGCGTGGGTCTCGGGTTATGTTTCCATCTCTGAAAGTGCAGCGTGGACCCTCTGCCCCATTAAAGTCATGCCTGGCAGCCGCAAATGGCCACTGTCTGTTTGAGCATTGATGGTGCCGAGCATTTGTTTGACGTGTTTTCACCCCAATGTGCATGAGTCCCTCTTGAGGACATGTGGCACATGTGTCAGAGCCTGGTGTGCAGGAGGCAGTGACCCCCACCAGTGTGCTGGAGACCCACATTCTGCCACCCAGCACATCTGTCCTCATGAAGGTCCCTGCTGGGCAGCTAGACTCACAGAGCGAGAGCATGTTTGCCTTGGTCTCCACGGTAGCTGGTGGCTAATTTACCCCTTGCCCACCCCTGACAGCCACAGATGGGCACAGTGGTTTTGACCTTTCCTTCATTTATTGAAACCTTCTAGGTTTGCATTTGCTGTGTTGACAGGGCCCTTCTCTGGATGTTGGTGTTCTTAGAGGGAAAGGGAACGGCCAGTGGAAGGAGACATCCCTCCAGCCTCTTCCTGGGCTCCAGGGTGGCCTGGGGTTTCACGGTGCTGACTACAGATGCCTGAGTCCCGGCCTGCTTCTCTGGGGGGACAGACAAGGACAATGGTCCTTAGTTTGGGTTGTGGCCCCGAGGCCCCATCCAGGGACTGTTTCTGGCAAGACCTTGTTACGCTGTTTAAGTTCTCAGCCCCGAGGCGGCCTGTACCGGGCCCGTGTCAGGGGACCACTGGGATTCAGAACCACGTAGGCAGTACACTGGGGCAAGGTGGCGAGTACACACATGAGCCAGCAGGTGTTAGTGAGGTCAGATGGCCCGAGAGGGCTTTCCTTTCTGGGCCTGGGCCTTCCTGCAGGTACGCTGTGTCTGCGGATGGGCCCTCACTGGGGACCCCAGCCCTGGGCTGGGCCAGTCTGCACTGTCCCCAGAACACATGCTGTGGGAGTGACCCACAGGACTGGACACCTGGGAATAGGACGGAGGATGCTCTGGCTGGGGTAGGGGTGTGCAGGGTGGACAGGGCGGCTGGATGGACAGGGACGCATGGCCCGGGGCAGGATGTGCAGGGTGGACAGGGAGGCTGGATGGATAGGGATGCATGGCCAGGGGCAGAGGTGTGTGAGGTGGACAGGGAGGCTGGATGGACAGGGACGCATGGCCCGGGGCAGGGTGTGCGGGGTGGACAGGGAGGCTGGATGGACAGGGGTGCATGGGCAGGGGCAAGGTGTGCTGGGTGGACAGGGAGGCTGGATGGACAGGGACACATGGCCCGGGGCAGGGTGTGCAGGGTGGACAGGGAGGCTGGATGGACAGGGACGCATGGCCCGGGGCAGGGTGTGCAGGGTGGACAGGGAGGCTGGATGGACAGGGATGCATGGCCCGGGGCAGGGTGTGCAGGGTGGACAGGGAGGCTGGATGGACAGGGACGCATGGCCCGGCACAGGGTGTACAGGGTGGACAGGAGGCTGGATGGACAGGGGTGCGTGGGCAGGGGCAGGGTGTGCAGGGTGGACAGGGCGACTGGATGGACAGGGATGCATGGCCTGGGGCAGAGGTGTGTGGGGTGGACAGGGCGGCTGGATGGACAGGGGTGCATGGGCAGGGGCAGGGTGTGCGGGGTGGACAGGGAGGCTGGATGGACAGGGGTGCATGGGCAGGGGCAGGGTGTGCGGGGTGGACAGGGCGGCTGGATGGACAGGGACGCATGGCCTGGGGCAGAGGTGTGTGGGGTGGACAGGGAGGCTGGATGGACAGGGACGCATGGGCCAGGGGCAGGGTGTGCGGGGTGGACAGGGAGGCTGGATGGACAGGGACGCATGGCCCGGGGCAGGGTGTGCAGGGTGGACAGGGAGGCTGGATGGACAGGGACGCATGGCCCGGGGCAGGGTGTGCAGGGTGGACAGGGAGGCTGGATGGACAGGGACGCATGGCCCGGGGCAGGATGTGCAGGGTGGACAGGGAGGCTGGATGGACAGGGGTGCATGGGCAGGAGCAGGGTGTGCAGGGTGGACAGGGAGGCTGGATGGACAGGGATGCATGGCCCGGGGCAGGGTGTGCGGGGTGGACAGGGAGGCTGGATGGACAGGGACACATGGCCCGGGGCAGGGTGTGCAGGGT